TTGTTTTGCCTTCGATTATTAAAAATTAATGGCTTGAACTTAAAAGAAGTGCTTTTTATTTTAAAGTAGCTCCATGATATTAACTAATTATGCATATATTACTATTATGCAGTTGGAACTTAAACACATTTAAAACTGCAGATAACTTACTTACACACTGTAAAAAATAACTAAATTCTACAGAAGAAAATCATTAAAAAAAACTGTTTCAAGATAAGACATATTAGATTTCAGTTAAAGATAAAACTGTTTAAAAATTAGTTTTTATCCGCCATGTTATAAATTCCTCTTGTTTTACGTACTTTTTCTGTATATTTGACTTTTTGAAGATCTTTATTGGCAAAAGTTTTTTTTTCCTGTTTTTTACCAAAATCATGAATGGATTACTAGTACTAGTTTATGCTATGCTGTTTTATTTAAGATATGATAACTATCTACGATAAAAACTACAATCATTTTTCAATTATTATCTATAGTAGCTTTTAATTTTCAGCAATTATTTTATGGTTTTGAATATTGCATAAATAAAAATACGATCAAATATTATTGTCAAATTGATACTCTAACTGATTATTATACTTCTTTGGAATATGCCAGAAGTTTTTAGACGGGCGAGTTACTATAGTCTTAATCGTTTTTACACTTACATTATTTTAATAAGCAAGGCTTTTAAGAAAAAAAAAACAGCTTCAGATTTTTCCTTATACAAAGACGCTGTGGTAGCTCAAAGGACAAAGCTCACTGTTTTAAACAACAGCATTTTTCCATGAAATTAGCGGTTGTTTATACTGGCATACCAGATGACAGTTATTTTTCCATACATTTAAAAAATTTTTACAATGCAGTTTCACAATAATTAAATAATGAATAAGTTAATTTTTTTATACTGAGCTTTATGTAATATAGGGTACCTCAATATATTACTGCATAATAATAATTGAAACCTTTTTAGAATTTATCCTTTCGCGCTATTTCATAATAAAAAATGAGGTTTTGTAGTTAATATATATATATA